GGATAACATATATAATATAAAATAAACTCAATGGAAAGAAAGAAAGAAAGAAAGAAATCTTCACCTCCTTCACATATTTATATTAATTAAACAAGAAACAAAGTAAGCAGAAAACACCAGAGTTGATTTCTTATTTTCTCTGGAGATCAGAGGTTCGATCCGGTCCCGTCACGGTTCTGACGTTGTGTGAAGGTGAGGAAGAGGAGGCAGGAATGTGTCCTGCAGGCCGCCACACGCCCTCCTGCAGTCACGTTCTCCGGAACAAACTGTCAGTCCAACAGAACCAACAGAACCGAGCCCTGCTGAGAGGACATGAGAGGATACCGAGGCATAAAATACACTTTATTCATCTTCTGCTACTTCTTCTGGGTGAGTCAGAACCGGGTCGGGTCACAGGTCCACCTCTGAGGGTTTACAGAACCTGACCTGACCCAACTTTACCTGCAGAATTAAAGAAACAAAACTTTCAGAGGAAGTTAAGTTTCAGTCAGGATGAAATCTGTCAATAAAACAACACAGCATCCTCTTCCTCAGTATCTTCATCATAAGTGAATCAAATATCCTGTTTGTGATGAATTAAACAGTTTGAGTTTTTGTCGTTTGTACTAAAATATAAAGAGGCAAAACAGGAAGTGGAAAATGGAAGTGTGGACATGTCTTCATGTTTCTGCAGGTTGTGAGCGCCGTCCTGATCGCTGTGGGGATCTACGCCAAGATCGCCAAAGAGAAAGGTGATCCGCTGTCAGACTGAGTCCGTTGGACATGAGACGTCTCAGTGAATGGATAAAAACCCAACAAGGTTCTAGTGAGGAACACATTCCTGAAGACAAAGTGTCCAAAGCGTTGCTGCCTGATGATGAATAAAACTTTTCTGTGGTTTTATCTTTATTTATTTTTAATAATGTTTACAGTTATTTTACCCCCATCAGCTGTGAGTTGTACCTGACTGTCAGGATGCTCGGTCCACGTTTCCCCTCGGGTCATCTCGTTTCAGGACTTGGATTGGTCAGGACCAGGTTTTGGTTCTGGTCTCCACCTGTGTGTGTGTTTGTGTGTTTAGATGTGGTGGACACGCTCGCGGTGGACCCGGCTCTAGTGCTGATTGTTGTCGGGTCGTTGATGTCCCTCATCACATTCCTGGGATGTTTCGGAGCCCTGAGGAACGCCACCTGCCTGCTGAAGATGGTACGACTCCAGCCAGACCCTTTTTTTCAGACTGATCATTTAGCAGGCGCTCCGATCCATGAGGGTTCTGCAGATCCGAGACCAAAGACATCTTCTAGATGGACATGAACACTTTGCTCTGACAGGTTCTGGTAACTCTTTGTGGAACCGCGGACGGTGGTTCTGGTTCTGGTCTGATGAGTTTGTAATTAAATGTGTTGAGATGCTGCCATGTGAATGGCTTCTTAGATAACTGTTACCAAAGTGATTGAGCAGATGGACATAATAAAGTGGCCGGTTAGTGTATGGTACTAATACTAAGCTAAAGTACGCAGCTGTACGAAGTTAATAATAAACAGACATGATGATGTCACTGCATGTGTTCTATTTGAAGACAGTGGCAGCTGAGACCTCAGAGTCATGGAGGTCATGACAGGAACAGTTGGGTATCATTGGCGTACAGTAGACATGACAGGAACAGTTGGGTATCACTGGTCTATAGTAGACATGACAGGAACAGTTGGATATCATCTGCGTACAGTAGACATGACAGGAACAGTTGGGTATCATTGGTGTACAGTAGACATGGCAGGAGCATGTGGGCATCATCGGCATAGAAGAGGTCCAGGATGTCACAGGTGTAGAAGATTGGGCCAGTAAAGCAAAAAGAAGAGGCCCAAGGAAAAAGACTTAGGGTTCCTCTCAGGAAAGACTTTTCTGGTATAAGTTSAAGGAACTCCAGGCAAATATGACTCTAAACAAGATAAGACCTTTGTATGACGATGGTCTAAGGAACCACAGTTAGTTGAATGTTTCTGTTAATCTGCCAAACCAACAAAAGATTTAAAGTTGTGTTTCCTCCTGTAGTTTTTGGCCATCCTGGCAGCCGTCTTCCTCCTGCAGATTGCAGCCGGAGTTGTGGGATATGTTTTTACAGACATGGTAACYTTTCAGAAGCAGTGTTCTAAGTTTAGAGTTAGAAGTACCAACATGACGATGCTGTTGTTTCAGGTGATGGACAGGACCGAGAAGCTCATGATGAAGGCCATCGTCCGCTACAGGGAGGACCGGGACCTGGAGAACGCCATCGACTTCATCCAGAAGAAGGTGAACAAAATCTTTTTTTTAACTTATTCTTTTGAACAGTTAAAGTGGAGACATATTTACATCCATATACAGTTGTTCATCAATGTCCATATTAGCTGATTGTAAAAGTTGTGTCATCCATTCTAGGTATTTGTATTTTCTTTTTGAATTATGTTGTGTGAGACACCCCAAATACAGTGTCCTACATGATCTGGGTAATTCATATCATGTTATTTTATTCAAAGTAAGACATTATGTTATCCCAGTATCCATATATCTTTTGACAGGACCAGAAAATGTGTGGCCTACATCCATCTGACCACAGAGTCTCCAGCATGGTTGTGGGCTGGATACCATCCTCTTCCTAATCTTCGGGGTTATGAAAAATTTAACCACATTTTTCCAATTGAATTCTTTTCATATACGGGAGCAGGTGGCTGTAAACTGTGTTTCACAGATTTTAAACCATTCTTCCTCACTATATGTTCCTTCAGCTCCTTTTCCCATTTTTCTTTAATCTAAATAGTAGATGTTTTCCGGTCTGCCATCAGCCCCTGGTACAGTGCTGAGATACTGTAACTCTACATTTTTTCCCCTCGTAGGCTTTCTGAAATATCTCATTTATTTTACTTATGTTAGTTTTTACCTCTTTCTCATAATACTCTCTTATCTGTAAGTAACGATATTAATCTTGACCATCCAGTCCAAAGTTTGTCTTTAAGGTATTAAAACAGCAGCTTTTCTACCATTTTACACATCGCAGTCAGACCATTACCTGCGCACTGTTTTAACCCTTTATCAAACGAGAACCTTTCTTGGACTAATTAAACTTTGATGCAGAGAGACTGAGTTCTGCTCTTTGTTCTGGGTCCAGTTCCAGTGCTGTGGTGTAGAAGGCTACAAGGACTGGTCCCACAACGTCTACTTTGAGTGTTCAGACACAAACCCCAGTGTGGAGGCCTGTGGGGTTCCCTTCTCCTGCTGTGTTCGCTTGAAGAACCAGGTCAGATTGATTGGACCCAAGTCTCTCTGAGAACTCTGCAGTGTGAAATAAAGATTCAGTTCTTGGTGCCAGAACCTCATGGAGGTGATGGTTCTGATTTTATGGTTCCTGACTTAGAAATAGAAGCTMTTGGGAACAAAATGAGACCTAAAAAGTTCTTCAGAGATGCTGAATGTCCTTTTCTGATTTGTCCATGTCCTCCATTTTGGTCCAAATCAGGTTTGGTCTCTGGTCTTCTTGTGTTTGCAGACTGTGCTCAACACTATGTGTGGCTACGGGACGCAGCAGATGGAGGAGCGTTCAGCCGGACAGAGCATCTTCACCGTCGGCTGTGTGGAGAAGATCATCTGGTGGGCCAAGAGCAACCTGTGGCTGGTGGCCGGTCTGACCGCGGGGCTTCTGCTACTCGAGGTARACCGGACCAGAATCTACGGTCCGGTCTTAATGAGCCCAGTGTCTAACCTGTTGATGTCCCCCCCTGTGGCAGGTGTGCATGATGTCTCTGGCCGGGGCACAGATCTCCTGGATAAAGAAGGTCCAGCAGAGACAGAAAGAAACTGAAGCTCAAAGTAGATCAGAGAAGAAGGAGAGACTGTGGTTTCCTGCGTTCGCAGACTTCAACGACGAATAAAACCGTCTGAAGATACGATTCATGCTGTGAATATTCCACCTAGCTTTAAGGATCTTTCAGCTCCTGCCTCACATAGAAACAAGAGTCTAAAAGCTGTCTGAGCCACAGTGTCAATAAAAGAGTCAAGGCTCTGCTCCCTGGTGTGTAAGGTGCTGGGTGACATGCATTCCTCCAAGTACTGCATGAAGCTAACCACCGCTCGGCTGAGACTCAGATCAGCAGCGTGTCTTTGCAGGGATTAGGTCTCGTGCCTGCTCTCGCTCGTCCACCGGGATTATTGATTGTGGGGGTGGAGCTACACAGAAGGTCAACTTACATCAATGAACCAGTTCCTGTCAGCTAATGCTTGAAGACAGAGTAACAGGGAACAGTTCCGTTGAAACTAACTGGATCTAAAACTATTAGAACTAGATAAGAACAGAAATAAAACTAAAATAAAATAGTTTTATTTTCCAGAATAAAACAGGCAGAATATAAAAAACACTTGAAGCTAACGGCTGAAACAGTGATGGTGTGCATTGGCAGGTAAACACTGAGGTTGACCCAACTGATTAAGGCAGCTCTACATTTTCTTCTTTACTTCCACTGACAAGGTCAAAGGTCATATGTGATGACTCCAGGTCAAAGGTCAGATGTGATGACTCCAGGTCAAAGGTCATATGTGATGACTCCAGGTCAAAGGTCATATTTAACGACTCCAGGTCAAAGGTCAGATGTGATGACTCCAGGTCAAAGGTCATATCTAATGACTCCAGGTCAAAGGTCAGATGTGATGACTCCAGGTCAAAGGTCATATCTAATGACCTCAGGTCAAAGGTCAGATGTGATGACTCCAGGTCAATGGTCAGATGTGATGACTCCAGGTCAAAGGTCATATCTAATGACTCCAGCTCAAAGGTCAGATGTGATGACTCCAGCTCAAAGATCAGATGTGATGACTCCAGGTCAAAGGTCATATCTAATGACTCCAGGTCAAAGGTCAGATGTGATGACTCCAGGTCAAAGATCAGATGTGATGACTCCAGGTCAAAGGTCATATCTAATGACTTCAGGTCAAAGGTCAGATGTAATGACTCCAGGTCAAAGGTCATATCTGATGACTCCAGGTCAAAGGTCATATCTAATGACTCCAGGTCAAATGTCATATCTGATGACTCCAGGTCAAAGGTCATATCTAATGACCTCAGGTCAAAGGTCATATCTAATGACTCCAGGTCAAAGGTCATATCTAACGACCTCAGGTAAAAGGTCATATCTAATGACTCCAGGTCAAAGGTCATATCTAACGACCTCAGGTAAAAGGTCATATCTAATGACTCCAGGTCAAAGGTCATATCTAATGACTCCAGGTCAAAGGTCATATCTAACGACCTCAGGTCAAAGGTCATATCTAATGACTTCAGGTCAAAGGTCAGCACAGTTTGAAGGTTAACTAACACTGAGGATCAGCTGCTGAACATCCATGTGGTTTCACAGCCCAACATGGAAGGAGGGTGATAATAATTTGGCTAACCATAACCTCCACTATACAAATGAACACAAACAGGCAAAAACATGATACAACAACAATAACAACGACAACAACAACAGTAGTAAATAATGCTGCAGCTTCACAGGAAGCCAGTCAGAGCGCATGCCCGCATGCTGAGGAAGAGGAGGAGGTCTGAGAGATGAAGAGCACTTGGTTTGTAAACTTTGGGGGCGGGGCTCTGAGCCACAGAGTCATTGCAGTTCACACCTGAGAGTCACAAGTGAGTCTGTGAGATCTGGTTGGGTTCTGAAACCTCCTGATGAACTGTTCTGGTTCTAAAGTCTGGATCTCTGGATCCAGCTGTAGTGAGGACCAGGTCTCTGAACCCAGCTGTGATTCTTAGAGTCAGGTTCGATGAGTCCTGTCCAGTTCCTGGTCCAGAGATGGGTCCAGTGAGTCAATCTCAGAGTCAGATGTGTTTGGACCAGTTTCTGCCACGCTCCTGTTTGTCACACCTGGCAGATGTTGTAGTAGACGGTGTGGGCCTGCCTTTGGCTCAGTGGGTCGCCCACGGTGTCAAACACGCTCCCTCTGTGGGCGTGGAGCTCTGTCATGGGGATCTGGACGCTGTGGGAGTTGCTGTGAGGACTCTGAGTCCCGTATGACGGAACCGTCTGCAGAGGAAACAGAACCAGGTAAAGCTGAGCACATGGAAGAACGTCGCCCCCCGGTGGCCCGGCGGGTCAAATTTAGTTAGGTTTTGATTTTATTTTTTATTGTCTGTTAAGTAATTTAATATTTGTTCCGTCAAACCCACACGGCACAGAGCTGTAATCTAAACAAGAACCCACCTTGAGGGCCTCAAAAGAACAACAGTTTTTAACTTCCGCATTGATTTTGAATAAGGTGTAATACACTTTCTCACCACTAGTAGCAGTAGTGCACCACTCAGATGTTTAACAACTTTTT